AGTTGGTTAATTGGATATTAAAAAGGATATAATTGGGATTTTACTATTTATTTTAAGTGTTTTATGTGATTACATGTATGTGTTTATGTTTAATTGCTTAAATTATTTGTTTTGTGCTTTGTTTGAGTTACTTGTTTAGTCTTTATTTGGTTTAATTGTTATTTGGGTTTTAATATTGTTTTGTTGGTTAATTATTCTATGTATTTAAGTATGGTTTTAATTAATTGGTTAATTGGATTTTTTTTTTTTTATTTAATTAAATTAGTTTGGATTGTTTAAAGGAGTTAATTAGGTTAAATTATTAGGGTATTTAGTTTATGGATCGTGTTTTTGGGCCACTAGGGTTTAGTTGGGATTCCATCTCTAAATATAAGTAATACATAGGTTTTCATATGCCTATATATATATATGGTGATAGGTCTGCTTAGGGTTGTAAGCACAAACCCTATTCACGGCACAGTATAATACAGAGAGTTTAGAGTGAAAATAGAGAGAGGTTGTGAGGGAAAAATAGAGCAACTTCAGAGAGGCTTTTGGCCATGGTTTTAGGGTTAGAACTAGAGAAGAGGAATCCGTGATGGCAGTCACGATTGCCGGAAATTCTAGGAAGAAGACGACGTTGTAAGGTTTCAAACCGAAATTGAAAGGCAAGCTCTTTTCTTTCTCTTTCCCTTTGGCTTGTGTTCTGTGCACCTAGGTAGCCTCTAGGGTTAAACAAATTATAAACTAAAACTTACATGTTAATTGTATGTTATATTGATAATCTGTTTGGGTTGTAATCGAATCTATTATAGAATTCGTACATATCTGTTTTCAGTTTTGTTGGAAAAACTTGTTAGTCCGGTTGTAATTTTAGATTCTAGGGAATTTATTGAGTCTTAAATGGATCTTACACGATTATTATACGTTGAATTGCATTATTTGTTGTCTGAGAAATTGGTTTGGAATAAATTCGTTCTTGTCTGTTCCAGTTTTGTTCTTTAAGCATGCTAGTAAATTTCTTAGTTAAATCTCTGTATTTGATTTCAAATTGTTGTTCTCAAACCATTGGGATGCTGTTTTGGTATTAATAAGACCTTAGGATAAGTTTTAGAAATCAACTGAAGGGTGGAAATAGGCCAGAGAAGCAGAAGGACGAAAACGGAGCAAACAGGGACTGGAAGCTCTCAAAAGAGGTGAGAGCCGGCTCCATGGAAGTGGGAGCCGGCTCCTACACTCATTGAGCCGGCTCTAAAGTCCATAGAGCCGGCTCCAGGCCATGGAAGTAGGAGCCGGCTCCCACACTCATTGAGCCGGCTCTAAAGTCCATAGAGCCGGCTCTAGGCTCAAAAAGAGCCTGCTCTTTGAATTTTGAGCAGGCTCTTTCCAATAGTGTTTTTCTGAAATTTTTTTTACGAACTGTTTGGTTACTGTTGGAGCATGGGAACTGTTCTGTTGACTCTGGGGTTTTACAGAGGGATTAGAAAGTTGGTTTTAAGTGTTATTAAGTCCTTAAATTGAGTAAGGTTGATCTCTAAGTGAATGAAATTAACAATGCGCTAATTTAACAACTGTGCGTACGGTTAACGGCTGGAAGGAGATTTGTTGTCTAGTTTTAGTTTGACAATTTAAACTGCTATAAAATGATTCTAAATTTATTTTAAATGCACGGTGAAGTCTTTTAATTAATAAATTGGACTTGTGGCATAGTTTGTGACTCTGTGTTAAAAGATAAAACAGAAGATAAGTATACAACTTAGTATGCTGTTACCCGACGGAAGGAACTAAATTGTTTAAATTAATTTAGCGATTTATTGGACTATAATATGATTATAAAACTTATTTTAAATACATGGTAGAGTCATTGTTATATTAAATTTCAACTATGCATGTTTTGGATGTTAATTGTTAGAATATTAAATTCTTTAATGCAATTACATGGATTAATACTGGATTTTAATTGCTAGATTGTTAATCTTCCTTCTACAATTATTTGGATATTAGTTTTGGATTGTAAATTACTAAACTGATATATATATGATGTAATTTACAAGGATATGGAGGATTGTATGCACCGGTATGGGACGGTGACATACTAGGGATGGTTTAGCTCAAAACGCCTAAACCTAACCTAACGGATTAAAGGAATGGATTTATAAATATTGAATCCTAATTGTGTTTAAGTCAAATCAACTGCAACTAAGTTGAGTGGCTTCTTGGATTAATAGATGATAGTTAAGTCATATCAACTGAATAAGTTGAGTGACTAACTAATTTGTTATTGTATGTCAGTTCGATAAATAATTGAATCACATACCCTGGTTTTGGACGGACTTTATATATATGTTTATGGTACCACGAGATGAGCTTGAGTCTCAGACTCATTGGTTAGGGTGCGTATATGCAGTGGATGCGTAGCAGGCTATAGTAGGTTGAGGTGTACACTGTTAGGTCTAGGTACTCATGCCCACCTTTGGGTGCATTTTCGCATGTTACCTTCTATTCAGGTTGAGACCCCTACTGTAGTCCAGTGAATGTCCCTTAGTGTGGATATATATATATGTATGGACTAGATAGCTATTGTTGAGATATCGAGGGTGTATCTGCGTATCGGGTCACTGTTTGAATTGTAGTTAGAGAAGAATTTGCATGTGGGCCTGACCCACTCTTATTTTTACAGGTGTTCGTTAGTTCCAGTCTTAGAGCTGGATCGTGCTGAGCAGATATAGTCATTCACTCCACCGATGCTGTAGGACTTTGTTTTGTATTTTAGACTTTGGTTTTATTTCCAGTCATTTGAGTTCAGTGGGATAATTAAGGGGTCCACTAGATGGATTCCCGAGTTGTATAATTTGGAGAATGATTTGTATTCGTGGAGGATCAGTTGTAACAGAATAGTTTATTTATCAATGGAATTATTTATTATGAGGTTTCAATTATTGGATTATCATTTTTAGTTTTCATTTCAGCAAATTTTATTTATCTCATTTGTTTCAATTGTATTCAGTGTTCGATTATTGCTAATTGGTTTGATATCCTTGGGTAATTGGGCGTGGGCCTGGCCAACCCGCATCCGGAGATTCGGGGGTATCACAAAAACTCCCCAAGAGAATACACGAAGGAAAGGAACCACCAATCCTAAGAAGGACAACACCACGACTCCACCTCTGAAACAAAAGACAACAGGGTTGAAAACTTCGCCCCCTACATGGGAGTAAGTCGACCAAAATTCACCAAATCCTTACCAAGGACTCAAGACAACAACGACGATCTTCACGGTCCAACCAACCCTAAAACCGTGCACATGGCGACGAAGAAAAGAGACTCACTCCTTATGAAGTCCCAAACACGAACCAAGAAATAGAGGAGAAACCCCATTCTCCCACAAGTGTCAACACGACGAACACGAAAATGAAGCATTCTTCCCACCTTAGGGAAGTGGACAGCTGAAGACAAAACAAATGTGACAACTCCTCTACAAGGAATTTCACAACAAAATCATTGCAGAAACCGGCATACAACTACGTGCGACCGAGGGAAACAACAAGGGAAAACCAAACCTAAAAGTTATGCATATGACAAGGAATTCAATTACCAGATAAGTAAATCTACGCACATAGATAAAATCAAGGGTACATGCAGCACGTCTCCACGTAAACACAAAAGCATGTTACTAAAGCACAACAACAACATGACATCTCTAAGTATATATGTAAGGCATGCTAATGTCACGCAATAAGAAGACAAAAATAAAATGATGCAACAATGAACCCTATGGACATCGTGTCCTAGAGTGTCTAGGTAAAAGGAATGACCAGTCCTAGCCATAAACTGACTCCAAAACCAATGCGACAACAACCAGTCTCAAAACAAAGGTGAGCCCTCACTACAATGATAAGACTCTAACAATCCATTTTCGAATCTAAAGGTGACACTACTAGTGACACTAACAATGTAATGATTTCACCAACCCAAAACATAAGCAGACTAAGAAATGTGTTATTATTAACCATTGCGTTCTTGAAGGTATGCAATGATAGTAGTATTCACATAGCTGTGTCTTTTATAAGCGCATTCATGACGTCGATTGCAGAGAAGTTACTACTATTTATTAGTCTTGCACCAAATTAGCACGAAAGACTTCCACACACAAGATTAGTACATCAATAATTATTAGTCCACCAAATCTTTATATTTTGTAATAAACGTGTTCATGCATCATTTACCAACTCTGTTTTAAATTTTTTTTCTAGTTATTGTTAAATTTTAGTTTACATCATCTCACATCTTTAGTTTTTATACATTATACACATCTTATATATAAATTTATAAAGATGATGATTTAGAGTTCGAAAGTCGGACAATTTCGAGTGATTTATGTGACTAGATCCGACAAAATCATAATGTCTATTCAATTTATACTGAGAATAATAATTCCTATTAAGATAATAAGTAGTCCAAAAATTAGATACGTAGTTCTAATATGATTTATTGGATTTTTGAATTATGTGTAATTTACTCTTTATGCAAACCACTGTTCATAGTCATCTGTCGTGTGATTGTCACTAAACAAAGTTTCATTTTGGCTCCTCAACATGGTGGAGTCAAGGAAAACCTGAAATGACAATTCATTTATTATTCCCAACAACCCAATTCCAAAAAGTAAATGACAGACACTAGATAGTTGATTTTCTTTTTGTTCTTAATTCCATGAGACCAAATAAATTACTTAAATGATTACATACAATTTTTTTTTTACGTGGTGGAGTCAAGGAAGACCTAATAATGACAAACATAAAGTCTTCCTTTATTATTCCCAACAACCCAATTCCAAGAAATAAATGACAGGCACTAGAGAGTTGATTTTCTTTTGTTCTTAATTCCATAAGACCAAACAAATTAACTTACACGATTACAATTTTTTAGTATCAAATTAAAATTATCCTGTTATAGCAACAAATTCCATGAATTCTCTCCTCTACAGACTACAGTGTGAATTTTAGACCCTTGTAATAGGTGGTGGATTCGCCTACTTTACTGATGTTGCTGCTACATTTGATGGCATTATTAGAGTCTTGAAGGAGAAGGTAAATATTGTATCTATCATGGCCATGTTTATTATTCTCAACGTCATCCTCTTGCTATAAGCACAGTGGCTGAATCTGTCGTATGTAAATAGGAATCAATGCTTAAAGCCGCGAGGATGCACATATATGTAAAAAGAGGAGGTCCAAGTTACCAAAGGGATTCTGCCAAAATGCGGACACTTGGGGATGAAATTGGCATCCCTATTGAGGTACCCATACATTCATGCAACCCAAAAAGCATTCCCATGTTGGTTTAAACTTTAAAATGATGCGGAAAATTTCGTGGACTTATAATCGTAGATTTGAAAATACTGAAAATTTTCTCTTGTTTGTATGCTCTCTTGTAGGTTTAAGGACCCGAGGCAACAATATCTGATATATCCAAACGGGCAACTGAGTGCATCACTGCAGCTGCACAAGTCTGTCAACTCTTGTAGCTATTCAATTTAAGTTTTACTATTGTGTTATTGTACCTGAAAATGTGTTGGTGGGTTTAATTATTATATCCGTCTTTGATATAAATGGGACCAATAATGGGCTTGCTTGGTTCCTGAGAATAGTTTTTTTGTTTTGAAAATCTGAAAACTATACAAAAATCTGTCTGGTCGACAGTTTCTGAGAACTACTTTTTGAAAACTAGGACTGATTTCCGAGTGCAACCAAGCAAGCCCTAATTTTCCCTGGGAATTTAGTCAGTAATCACAATATTGTTGGCAAATCAAATAGCTTGCGTTGTCTTTTGAGCCCCCTGGCTTTAACAAAAACATGCAAACAAGCTACATTAGAAAGCAATCAGCCTGCCCCTCACTCTGATATTGAAGGTAAAAAATTATGAATTTCCAAGGAACAAAATAATAGAGATTCAGATGCCACAATGTGAATTTTAAGAGGAAAAAATGAGATTCAGATATATATCTCTGGGATTAGAGTAACAAAATATCCAGCCTGAAATTTAGGTTTACAAAGTTTCTCATAAAAGCATCTGCAATTCCTCATCATCTCAACTGGGCTAAGTAACAAGTGGTGTATGTTGAATAAAATAAAAATAAAAATTCAAATCAAATCAAAGGATTTAAAAGAGGTTGATTCATGGATTTGGATATCAGGTAAGGAAAAAATTTGTGTGAGCTCCAAAAAAAAAAAAAAAAAAAAAAAAAAAAAATTCCTAGTTTTGCTAAATAAAATAAATATATAAATAAATAATTTTTTTTTTTTAAAAAAAAAAGAAAAGAAAACTAGTATGCCATAGTTTTATTATATAATTTAAATAAATATATTTATAAAAAAAATAATAATAATAATAATAATAATAATAAAACTAGAAAGGCTTAGTGCCGAAGCTCAGTTCTAATTCAAACTAAACAAAAGCCCAAAACTGCAGCTATTGGGTCTTTATATCTATAAATTTAGTCTGGGACTGCAACTGGGGTTGGGCTTATTGTTGGGTTGGGCCTAGTGGTCCTGTTACAACAGTGTAAACGTCCTGATAGTAGCCCTGTTACAACAGTTGATCCCATGAGGTCTTCCCAATTATAAGGTGATACGGTAATACAAAAAATCTCAAAATAAAATAAAATTAGAACATAGTAATGACATGGATACATCAAAATAATAATAATATAATATATATAAATTATATATAATTTTTTTCATTTTATCCCTATAATCATAGATAAACTAATAAGTTAAGAGTTTGGAACCGGATGTCTGTTATTTTAGATTTTATATTATTTTTTTAATTAACCCATAATTTATTCTAGATTGCATTGAATTATAGTTTTTTTTCTTCTTTTAAATAATTACAAAATTATCTCACCGTATTTTTTTTTCTTTCATGAATGACTTATCTCACCGTATTTTAAAAGTATTCAAAAAATATTCTTACTGTGTACATATATAAAATAAAATATTCATTATTAAAAATATTTTTAACCGTAGCCCACACGTGATCGAAATGTATCTGAATATAGTATATGATTCCACCCTGTTCGAAGTTTTCATGCTTATAATGTTTGGGCACCTTTCCTAAGATGCAGGCAAACCAGGATAAAACGTGACGTAGCCAGTTACTTTCCTCTAAAACCATTCTTTGGCTGATAAAATAATTGAAATATAGCTGACACAGGGCCAAACATCGGATCCAAATCTGCTCTAGTGCACCTCTCACTGGAGCAGGATCAGTGCATATCCAATGGCTGAGATGAAACCACCTCAACCCATTTGCCACGTCAGCACTCAGTCAGCATTTACACAAAAAAGTTACTGATGTACTATTTTTATTTACCACATGTACAAATACTATATACACTTATACTAATATACCATACACTTATACATTATACGAAATCAGAATACATAATTTACAATTACATTTAATAATTTTTTGTTAAAATTACTTTCAACTTTACCGTTGGGGGTAAAATTACAGAACGCTAATTTGACTCTTCTGCTCTTCGTCTTCGTTGCTTCCTCTGAACGTTCTTCCATTATTCTTCTTCCTTCCAACTCCTGTACTATCCTCTTCGTCTTCGTCTCAAGTTCAAAATTTCAAATTTTAATGGCTAGGTTAAAATCTATAGCGAGGAAGAAAACCAATAAACGTACGTTCCAGGTATCTAGGAAGAAAAAGTCAATTTCTACCAATGACGCAAGAACAGAGAACGTCTCACATGAAGGACAAACCTCACGTGAAGGACGAAACAGTGTTGGTATTTCCGGTGGCGAGCAGGATTTGGTGAACCAGCCTCCCATAGTGTTCTTAATGTATAGGTAAACATTGATTATGGATTGGTTTGTTTTAGGGTTTAGAAATTTTATTCAGATTTTATGGTTGGGAATGGTGAAATTGAGTTTTAGAAGTTAATTTTTTTAACGTGTTGGGAAAATATTATGATGTTAAATGCAATTGATGCATGATACATGTGTTTAAAAGTTCGTATAATAATAATTTGTTGTTTCCGAATATGAAATCTTCCTACATATACTCAAAGTGTTTATGGTTGTTATTATTAATTTAGGAATTGTGAGATTAAGTTGTGGAAGTTAATTTTTTTAAGTTGGTAGGTCAATATGTTGATGCAATATAAATAATAAGTTAATTTCATACATGATACATGTTTAGACAAGTTGTGAGCAAAATAAATTGATCTGTCCAACTTTTAATTTAGTAATTGTATTGTATTACGTTATAAATAGTAGGTGATGAAATATGCAAATCTTCCTACATATATGTTGAAAGTATTTGTGGTTCTTATTTTTAATTTATGAATTATAAAACTGAGTTGGGGAAGTTAATTGATTTAACGTGTTAGAAAAATATGTTAATACAATATGCAATTCATACACGATACATGGTAAAATAAGTTGTGATAATATGCAATGCATACATAAAGGGCCGAGTGCATTAGAAAGTACAGGACAGAGCACTCAAATCATGACAGGTTACCAAAGGCAGTGATGAATACGGTGTGCAAATTGCTAAACAGATATGGAATGCAATGTCTACTGCTGATAAAGAACCATGGATCAGAGAGAGTACAAGACAAAAGGAAGAGTACGACAAGCTTCCTGAAAAAAGAAGGGCCCCAAAAAAAGAAATGGTGATTAAATTTTAATGTAAATATTTTATTTGATGACGAAACCCAGAATGTATGCATGATGTGTTATAATCATATGCCTTTGAAGCAGAAGAAAAGGGAAAAGATCAATTTGACCCAAGGTGCCTGGCACAAATGCTCCTTTCCAAGTTCCGCAAAGCAGTATCACAGCTTGATGAGGAAAAGATAAAGGTTGTTGAGTAGGTTGGATTTGGAAAATTACTGGAACTTAAATGTTCTTTTTTGTCCCGGGAGTTATGTATGTATTTAATCAAAAATTTTGATTTTGAAAAATGTTGTATAAAAGTTGAGGACATAAGTTATATACCCATTCATTTAGCTGATATCCACTCTATCCTTGGCATACCATTTGGTCTTATAAAAGTGCCGAAAAATAATCAGTTTCTTGATTCTAAGTGGATAGATGAAGGTGGTTATAAGGAAGCTGGTCGAATGCACCAAGATGTATTGTTAGAGCAGGTTTTAACGGTAAAGGGAATGGATGAATTCAAGCGAGCGTTTGTGCTATTTGCTTGCAGTACTGTACTCAGTCCCACCGGTTGTAATAATTGTCATTGGGGCTTGTTGAAAACTGTAGATGATGTGAATACAATTAGCAGTTACAACTAGTGCAGATATGTCCGTGATTGTTTGGTGAGAACCTCGGAACCATCTGCAGATGGCAAGCTGAAAAAGTCATACGATGGTTGTATGATTTTTTTGCAGGTATCCTTGGTTATGAATTTTTTTTTTTTTTTTGTGAATTACGTATTCATTTGATTCAACATAAGTAATATTTATTTTAATTATTGGTCTTTTAAATCAGCTGTTTTATCTGATGCGTTGTGATGCGCAATACCGAGCTTATCCTGAGGGAGATATTAAAAGGTTAGGTTTTTGGACATCAGAGGTTGTACGATCACGCATCAGATGGGAGATAGGTAATGAAGGTTTTGGACATGGACAGGTAATTATTTTTGTCATGTATGGACAGGTATATTTACGAATATTATTTTGTATTGTTGAAAATAGTTTTATATATATATATATATATATATATATATATTATAATTTGATGATAGACTAGTGTTATCTAAATATGGAATGGAAATAGTTGATCTCTCTGAAGCCGAAGACATATAGCAGCAGTAGTGGTAATGATGTGCCAGCCGAAGGTGGTTTTGGCCCTTCTTTAAACATTGATTGTGATGATTATCATTTTTCTGACTCGGATGTGGAGGTAATTGTGTTGTAAAATACATTTTATGTATTTACAAGATATATTTGAAAAAGTTATGTGAACTAATTGTCCTTATTTTACATAGGTTTGCATAAGTAGAGTGCAAATGGACATACAAATGGCTGAATTAAGTGTATTAAAATCCAAAAGAAGTCTAACAAAAATGTTGTTTGCCTTCAAGAAGTGGGACATGCCAAAAAAAAGCAAAACTGTCAAGGGAGAACAAAGAGAAGAATGATGGGTTGGGTGGGCAACCAAGTGGTGCAGATGGTAATGGTAATGATTATGATGTTGACCGTGTTGAGGAATCAGGTGGGGATGAAGAAGTTGAGGATGAAGAAACTGATGGTGACAATGAGGAAGAAAGTGATAGAGACTCTGCGGATGGCAATGAGGCCAATGAGGAAGGTGAGGATGAAGAAAATGATGGAGAGTCTGGCAATAGCAATGAAAGAAGCGAAGATGAAGAAACTGATCAAAGAAGTGAGGAAAAGTGTAATGATGATGATGAGCAGGAGCAGGGTGAAAAGAATGAGAGTTGTTCTATTCCAACTCACAGTTTTTTGCTAAGTGCCGAGGAAAATAATGAGTTGAATGCTGTTGTTGCGGCCATTTATCGAGACAGTGAGTTAAGTTCGCACCAAATTGAGTTAACCAAGAATGAAGGACTTGTAGAGGTTGCAAGGGGGAAGAAGAAATTAAAGAGCTGTGGA